GTTTGCAAAAAAAGCGCACCTTGTAGGCGACGGCTCTCCGCAACTTCTTTTCTATTGTTTTAAACTCAGCAATATCTTCTTGATGGACCCATTCTTTCTCTGTATATTTCTGAGATGAGGTATTATGTACATTATATGTACATTATATATACATGGCACGTGGAACTAGAACAGTCTACCCCAGTGAGCGAAATAAAGGGTTCAGTTCGACATTCCAACTACCTGAAGAAGGGCGGAACGTACAACGGCCGAAACGTTGTAATAAATATGGCGACAGAGATGAGGACAATAGTCCGAATAATGTAAATAGTGTACATAATACCTCATCTCAGAAATATAGACAGATACTGAAAGGCCGAAACGTTGTAATAAATATGGTGACAAAGATGAGGACAATAGTCCGTATAATGTAAATAGTGTACATAATACCTCATCTCAGAAACATAGACAGATACTGAAAGGCCGAAACGTTGTAATGAATATGGCGACAAAGATGAGGACAATAGTCCGAATAATGTAAATAATGTACATAATACCTCATCTCAGAAATATAGACAATACTGGAAAGGCCGAAACGTTTGTAATAAATATGGTGACAAAGATGAGGACAATAGTCCGAATAATGTAAATAGGTGTACATAATACCTCATCTCAGAAATATAGACAGATACTGAAAAGGCCGAAACGTTGTAATAAATATGGTGACAAAAGATGAGGACAATATCCGAATAATGTAAATAATGTAGCATATACCCTCATCTCAGAAATATAGACAGATACTGAAAGGCTGAAACGTTGTAATAAATATGGTGACAAAGATGAGGACAATAGTCCGAATAATGTAAATAGTGTACATAATACCTCATCTCATCCTAGACAGAAAAAGGCCGATAGACAAATATGGTGAAAAGATGCAATAGTCCGAATAATGTAAATAATGTTAATACCTCATCTCAAAATAAACAGATATGAAAGGCAAACGTTGTAAAATATGGACAAAGAAGGACAATAGTCCGAATAATGTAAATAGTGTACATAATACTCATCTCAGAAATATAGACAGATACTGAAAGGCCGAAACGTTGTAATAAATATGGCGACAGAGATGAGGACAATAGTCCGAATAATGTAAATAATCATAATACCTCATCTCAGAAATATAGACAGATACTTTGTAATAAATATGGCGACAAAGATGGGACAATAGTCCGAATAATGTAAATAGTGTACATAATACCTCATCTCAAATATAGGTACTGAAAGGCTGAAAATGCAATAAATATGGCGACAGAGATGAGGACAATACCGAATAATGCTCTTTTCTTCTCTTTTATGAAACATGGCTCCATAGGTACACTTACGAGCTCTGGCACTCCACAGCTTCCTATCTTTTGTTCACCAAGTTTACTTTTGCTCAGCAGTACTTGCTTAATTATGATGCTTTTTGGTCTTCGTGAGACTTGCTTCTCTATTTGCTCAAACCTCAAGAAAATTAATATTTCCCTTTTGAATCTCTTTCCTTCAGTATAACATGTGGGTGTTAAATTTTCCAAGACAAAATTGCTCATAAATTTTCGCCAGCATTTCTGTAACGATAAACTACATCTGACAGAAAGGCCTCTGATTGGGAGATTGGAGTCTTTCCGGAGCATGGAAACCACTTAATTTCTGTTGTTCCCAGATCCACCTTGACTCAGCGTGGTAGCACCTGTTAGGGTCCCAGCTATGGGCAAATAGTCGAGTCAGTAGTTCAAGTCGAGTCATATATTCCTGTTTGTAATATATCTGTGTTATTCCATACCTGTGTTCGAGTTCTTCTTTATTGGTTCTACCTTGGACTATCACCGTGGTACAAGGAATCGGACCATAACAATCGGTTTAAAAAATGTCCCTTGTCTTCACCTAATGGGCAGATAGAAGCTCTTCAGACAATTACTGCAAGACATTGGAATAGTGATACTGGTCGAGACTACATTGTTCTTCCTACTAAACCTGATTATTCATACTAAGACTTCTACTTCTCTGTATATCTTCCTGTTTGTAATATATCTGTGTTATTCCATATCCGCCTTCGAGTTCTTCTTTATTGGTTCTACATTGGAATTATCACCGTGGTACAAGGAACCGGACCATAACACATTGTCAGTTGGGAAAGTGATTACTTGGATCAGCTTCACACATATTTTTTTTCTTTTGTTTGTATGAATAATTATACTGAGTATGTCCATGCCAAAGTTCATACCTCTTTGACTAACAATCTTGCTTTCAAATATTTTTACCTATACTGGTTATGTTTGCACCTTTCCAATTCATGTTTTCGAAGAATGCTCTTAGGTGTATTTCGCGATGCCAAAAGTTGCATTCATATATCAGTTGCCTTTCAGTCATTGCTTTCCAGGTGAATTTCCGTAGCATCCTATGTTTACAGCAAGTGGCCGAAAACTTATCGATGCTATTTCTACAAAATGTGATTGTCAGGTAGGGAAATAATTCGGACAGGAACAGGGTTTCATCATCCTGAAAACGTTAATGCGAAACATCAAAAGGTTACAAGCCACACTGCTACAAATGACTGAATTCGGATCTACAATTATTTCCACTCAATGAAACATAATCGTTACCGTCGACCCAATAACCTTCAGGATAAGACGACATTACTACCCATAATGCACCACAGACCAGCATAGATAAATAGGCGAGCCAAAATACAACACGTTGAGTATGAAACAGGATTTCGCCGCTTGATGTTGACCTCAGTGTTCACTTTTATATTTACATATGCTCTGATACTGAGCACTTTTACACAAATATAGAATAGTTTATATATATATATATATATATATATATATATACAACACGTTGAGTATGAAACAGAATTTAATTTCGCCGCTTAATGTTGACCTCAGTGTCGACTTTTATATTTACATATGCTCTGATACTGAGCACTTTACACAAATATAGCATAGCTTATTATTATGGGGTCCACCCCTTTTTCATACAGGTGGACTCGACCAGTGTGTACTTGGACTGCTGCCGTTAAATACCCAGAGTCAGTCAGAGGAGTGAGAGATTGAGATTGTTATTGAGTTGGAGGTAGAGCAATAGTGTGAGGTAAACGCTTGTAGAAGTCACAGTTACAAGCACGTAGACTCTAAGGAAGTCCTACTTCGAGGCTGGATTTACCAGACTGTGTATATACATTATTATTGCTACTAACCACGTTTCTGGATCTATTAACCGTATTACCAATTGTATTATTGTGTAAATACATTTATTTGTTATATTTCATTCCTACGTTTGTCATTCATTGGAGACCGAATTTCATCTCGGAATCCACAACACTTATATATATATATATGAAAATACACTTATATATATATGAAAGAAAAATACAGAAAAACAAAATTCTGAATATGCATTAATAATGTTAAAATTTTAAGACCATCTTCATGGACATTTTCATTTAAACATAATTTAGATCTGTTTGAATTAGTTGGGCTCTTATGTCCATCGTCTTTTGTGTTAAATTGTTATAAGTTATAATGTTAATTATGTTTAAATGAAAATGTCCATGAAGATGGTCTTAAATAGACCGAAACGTCTGACGTCGACTTTATTTTTTTAACATTAATAATGCATATTCAGAATTTTGTTTTTTCTGTATTTTCTTTCATACTGTCGGATTTATATCCATATATTTACTTACATATATATATATATATATATATATATATATATATATATATATATATATATACAAATACGTTGAGTATGAAAAATAGAATTTAATTTCACAGTTTGATGTTGACCTAGTGTCGACTTTTTATATTTACATATGCTCTGATACTGAGCACTTTTAGAGAAATATATATATATATATATATATATATATATATATATATATATATATATATATATATATATATATATACGTATATTGAACAACATAGACGTCATTATTGTACCTTTAGGATCGTTTCGGTCAACGCTCTTTCAAAAAGTAATCTATGGCAAAATACAAAAAAGTCACGACACATTAATAACGGGATAAGTTGAAACGCGTTTAAAATAAATTTTAATTGTAAATAATTCACGAATAAAATAATTTAGGAGATTTGCAAGAGTATAAAATAGAAAAGAGAACACTCACAGTCCCTCAATCCAACGTAAGGAAGGCATGAAATGCTCTTTTTGTTTAAATAGGCTCGGCTGGTAGAATTTGATATACACAACTTCGAGGACTCAGAGATGGTAAACTGAGCGAGCACTAAAATAAACATGTGTCCTCATATTCGGCGCCATATATATATATATATATATATATATATATATATATATGCTCGTGAAAAATTTATTCACTTGAGCTCTCTGGGGAGGAGGTGTGGGTTTTTAAATCGAATCGAGTTCTCTCAGCCACTTTGTGTTTATCTAAAAATAAATACGCTTAAATTCACCTTCATCCCTTCTGTGCGCCAACGTCTTAGTGGTAGAATACATGACTAACGCCAATTCAGTCCGGTTTTCGATCCCAGCTGGGGGGCAACCGGACGCCTCTAGCTTTTCACTGATGAGCTGTGATACAGCAAAACAGTCAGTCTGTGGTTGATAATATATATATATATATATATATATATATATATATATATATATATATATATATATATTATAAATTGAAAATGATTATAGGGTTCCACTGAATTTCTAATGATAATCTAGATTTCTGTTGAGGTTTGAATTTGATCAGGAATTTTGGACTGAGCGTTTATGTAAGCCAAATTCTAATGACAGCAGCTATGATAACCAAAATTTGTGTCAATGATGAAGCGTAAATTGGTTGCATAAAGACAAATTGTTTCGTCACAAGATCTGTCCCAAATCACAACTATTATCTGATAGTTTATTTGACTAAAAAGTAATTTATTTTAACCATTTGGGCATTAAATGCACTTGCAACTTATTATTCTTGTTGTTGATGTTGTTGTTATTGCTTTGACAGCACC